ACATTGCTGAATGCCAGAGGAGTCACTGTTCCTTGTGCCAGCACTTCTCCAACCCATTTTGTAGGCTGCCCACAATTTCTGTAAAGGTAGGGCTGACACAGAACTGTTTCACACAACCCTTTAAAGCAAAAAAGGGGATGATGAAACACATAGGATAAGCTACTTAACATCTAAAAGAAAGGGGAGAGCAATAACCCAAAAGAGGTGCCAAGTTATAAATGCAAAGTAAGCTGGGTGGCCAATTACAAGGAATCAAGTCATGGTTGTGATGAGATTAGTGTCATTTACAGGGACCTGATTCAGTCCAATGAAGCCGATGGAAAAACTCTGCCTGGCTACCAGACCTTTGAAATGGGCCCTAATGTTCCTCAGCTTTGCAGTTTAAAGGCACCACTTCCACCCCATGGAACAAGTCCATTAACTCCACATGGCTCTGTGGTGAGGGAAAACAGGCTGCATTTCCTTGTACCTCCTCCTTATTCTTAGTGTTACTCTGTTAGTTAGAAGTGGTATCATTGTGTCATATTGCTGGTTGTTGAAGGAAGCATGAAAAGGCCAAGAGAGTTTCAGAAAGATAAAAACCAAGATAATTCTATGAAAATAGGATGGGTTGCTGTAAAAACTTCCCTACCATGTCAGATGCTCAGATGGTCTAATTTGGCATGTGCATCTGCTGGCAGTGTTTAGAGCTAACTGGTGGTCAGTCTTTGAGAAACTTTCAGCTCTGTCGTGTTAAATCTGAGCTGTGGAATTCTGTTTAGCAGCCCAATGCAAGGAGACTGTTACCATTATATCCTCCAGAATTTTTGTATAAAGCTGAAGTGTAAGTGAGAAGAAATTTTTTCCCCCGGTTGTCCCACTAATTCCTGCTGTTTAGTTTTAGCATCATCAAAATGTTTTGTGGAAGCGAGTCCTTTCTGATACTCATCACAGCCTCAGGCAGGGTTTTTTTTCAGATGGGAAAACAGGAGCATCTGTTGGAAACTTCATTTCAAATCACAGATGCCTGTTCTGTGATGTGCAGCGTTGCTCCTGACAGCGACACTTTTCATCAGCTCAGAAATGGTCCTTGTGCATCCCTGTCAGTAGCGCAGGATAGTCAGGGGGATCTGAAGGGAGCAAATCTAATTAGGCCCAAGCACGAGCTGAAGTCGCAATTAAGCAGCACGTGTGCATTTCTCTGCATCTTCTCAGACTGAAATGTTAGTCATAACCATGCGTGTCACAGCAGTGGAACTTGGCTGCCGACGCAGGGATCTCATTTGAAGTGTTCCCCACTCGTTCCCCAACCTGAGCAGGAGTTGATTTTTCACGGTGAGGTACTGAACGATTGATGCCTCCAGCTGTCTGTGGCATGCTCTCATCCCTCTGCCCTTTTGTTGCCATAGGTTACATCGAAGCAGCTGTGATCCCTGCAGGTGCCCGGCGGATCAGAGTGGTTGAGGATAAACCTGCTCACAGTTTTCTGGGTAAAAAGACAAAAGAAAAAAATGTTTTGATTCAAAACTCAGCTCTGTTTTCTGTTAAAGTGACCCTTCTCTCAATGACCTGTAAGATGATAGGTTTGTTGTTGCCAGGAAGCGGCTGTTGAATTCGTTCTTGTTGCAATCTTATCTGTTTTCATGGCTTGGTTTCACGATGTTTGCTTGATGTAATAGTATGTGACACTTACAGGGCCTGTGCAACCCGAAAGGACCAGAGAATACTTCTATATAGACAGAAGAGTTCCTGGACAGAACTTGGCACTGGATTGAACATAGCTGTCAGGAGCACGCACCACTTTGGGAGGGGGTGGGAAAGAGAACAGTGCATTTAGAGAAGGAAATGGCAGATGCGGGTAGGAAGGCACCTGACACAGACTGGAGCAGAGGCAGGACAGGGCAGCTGATATCCCTCGATAACCTGACCATGAGGTTGCCTGCACCATTTCCTGCAGCAGCAAGTTTTCACTGGATGCTGTACCCAAGACCTGATCCTGCACTGTGAGATGGGCTAGCTGCAGCCTCTAGTCCACTTGCCTCTATTTTCTCAGGCCAAAGAATTTGTTTAATCCTCTTTTCATTTCTACTTCTGTGGGTTTTTCTTGAGGGGAAAAGGCTTCCTCTCCTCTTTTCCCTGATGGAAACAAAGTTTTAGACATGGGTGAAGGGTCAGATTTGTATGTGAGGCAGAGTATGTAAATAAATTTGTTATCCAGTTATTAATTGCTTTAATTAAAGATTGGAGGGCATTTGTAAAATGTAACTAGTCAGCTACAATTTACATCTGTCAGTCTGGTCTTCTGCCTCTTCTCTCGAAAGTTAGAGGTGTTTCTTTTTGTGTCATTACTGTGCAATAGATGAAGGGCTTTATCTCCCATCTACTTCTAGAGTGACCGAGTTACAGAAATGCTCATTCTACATTGCCCTGAATTCACACAGGAAGCCTGTGGCAGAGCAGGGAGGGCAAATTGTTCAAGGCCAAGAACACGCAGCACATTGGGTTCAAGGTTCAAATTGTTCAAGGTTCAAGAACACCCAGCCCATTGAAACATCCATTGCACACTCAGAGCTGCATGGCCATGCATAAATGGGGGAATTCTTCTTTCTCTCTTAAGTTCTCTTCTGTGTGGAAAGACAAAAGGATAAGAGAAAATCTCAAACTTCATCCTTTGTTCAGTGAACTTTTGCAGCTTATTGGTCCCTGCATTGTCAAACCTAAGCTCTTGCTGTTGATGAGCTCATTAACACATGATTTTCGTCCTTCCATATCAAACAACCTTTCAGCCCTTCCACATGCTGATCATCTTATTGCAGTCCAGCTGTCCATTAGCCTGGGAAGCGTTAGGTACTGTTGTCACTTGTGCACGTTCTGGTTCTTTCAAAGTGAGCTTCTCAGAGCAGAGACACTGCAAGATTTTAGGAGACAAAAGCAGTCTGAAAGACGGAATTGCTTCCAGAGATATATCAAGCCTGGGGTAGGAACTCTGAGAGGATTACAAAGCTTGTTGCTCTCTGTTTTGTGGAAGAGGAAGCTGAGGTGTTGCAACTTGCTCATGGCTATGCAGGGAGTTAGTAGCAAAGCTCAGGCTAGAACCCTTGGTTTCTGATTTTTGTGTCTTTTGCTTATAATCCTTCATCTCCACAGCCAAAAGGAGACCATGTCTTTTGCTTAATAATCCTTCATCTCCACAGCCAAAAGGAGACGTTAATATCCTGTGCTGGGATATAGGATGCTGCTGAAACATTTACATAGCGATTGTGTCTTAGGATTTCAACCTAAGACACATCACTAGACATTTGTGTCTAGTAACATTGTTTTTCTGTCTTGAGATGCTACCAAAGTTGCCAATATCACTGTCTTTCATTCCAGATTTAGGAGGAAAAAAGAGGACAAATCATGTAATTCAGCTGCCCTTATGTCAAAAGCATTGGCATTTGTGCCATTTCTTGGTAGCAAGCACGTATCACTACTGCTAGTATTTCCACTAATGCTGCAGCCAGCTTGCTGGGAGAGGATTACGCCTACACGTAAGATGTTTGACATAGCAAAGCACTGGTGGAACAATGAGAGCCAGTGTTTCCTTGGGTTTTGCAAATACTCTGCCTTCTGGAAGCCAGCCTTTTTGTTTGTCTTGGTGGGATTTGCACAGAGTATTTGTCCGGGTCTTGAGCTTTGGCAGATAGCTGCAGCACTGAGAGTCTTACGTAGAGCTAGTGACTGCCCTTCATTGTGACCACATAACCTTGACTAAAACAGTTATTTCCCCACTGGGTGGTGAAGATTAGGATTGTGTATATTTGAGAGCAGGACTTGGCCCTGTGTGCATCACATAAAGATAGATAAAAATCTGGCTATTTTAAAGCTTCTGAATGCTTTTAGCCCTTTGGTTCATGGTCAGGAGCCAAGAGAACTTCTCTAAGGAACTCTTCGAGGGTTTTCTCTTTCAAGGAACATTGGACACAAAGAAAAGATACCCAAAGTCTTGCTAACCTAAGACGGAGAATAGCAGCAGGAGTGTTCCAATAGGATAAAAATGATGACCAAGAAAACAAAATCCAATCATTCTGATAGGCCTCATAATGCATTGTAAATCCAGGTCTGAGTATGGAAGGATTTTCTATTTCAATTGCACTGACAAAGCTGAGTCCAATCAGGTCGTATTTCCACTCAGAACCGGGTACAGCACTTTGGAAATGAGCCCAGCATAATCTGGAATCATTATTCCATGTGCTGGGAGCAGTGCCTGAAGAATTTCCCTCCACCTACAGGCAACCCACGCGGGCTGCCTTGGCTGGCTCTAACGCTTAAAAACCACCTTGAACAGGAAATGCCTCGGCAGTTTGTGTCCACAGGCTGGGAAGCAAGCTGGAGGGACCCAAGGTGGAAAGAAAGATCTGACTAGATGCCAGGTTTAGAAATAGATTGGTCAGTTCCTGTCTTCCAACCAACAAGAAAAAAAGAAGTTATGGGTTGTTGCTGGGGTTCCTTTTGCTCTTCTACTTTGCAACTTTGAGCCAGAAAAGGCTCGGAGATGTGACAGTGTTTGAGGCATAAGCTCCAGCAGAATTGCAGCCAGCTGTCCCAGGCAGAATAAATCCTTTGGGTACTGGCTTAAATCAGTGAGGACTGCTTGGCAAAAAGGGCTCACAACTGCTTTCCTGTTTGGGCTTTTCCACCACAGTCAGACAAGTTTTGTCACAGAAGACTCTGTATATCCTGGTCTCCATAGCTTCTGCCACCGAGCTCTCAGGGAGATTGGGCAAGTGTCCTTTGTTGTGCGCTTTGCTTATTCTCTAAAATGGCAGTAAAGACACTTGCTGTCTTGCAAAGTGCTTCTGCAATGCTTGGGTGAAAAGCACAGCATTCAATAAGAGCAAAAGGCCCTCTTCACCCCACTGAACTTAGTGCTGTCACCTCTGGGGCCAGGCAGGGCCAGGCCTGCAGCAGGTGTGTGTGACACAAACCACTGGAGAAACGCGGTGCCCTGTGTCTAGGAGACAATAGCTGCAGCATTGATCCTTACTGATGGGGCACTTGCATGCAATGAAGATGAACAGTGGTGAAAACACTTTGGCCCAAACACTCTGCTGAGTCTCCAGTGTAATTCCTGCAATCCTCAAGGAGCACCTTTGGAAACAGTTGTTTCAAAACTCTCCATCTCCTCAATCACTAAGGGAGCAGTGCCTGCAGCAATCAAAATCAAACCTTTCCCAGAAAAGAGGTCCACAAAGATGAAACGTTTTGTTTTTTATCAGCAAGTTCTCTTCCTTTGATGATGAGCTGGAACCACAGCATAGTTTTAGTCATGCAAGCTCTTAGACACTGTTCTGAGCATGTGCCGTGATATCTTTACTAGTCAGCCATGCCGCGTGGAGATAGTTTTATCTCCATACAGTATGATTAGTCATGTTCACGGCTTCTCAAGGCCAGCGTGATGGCTGCTTTGATCTGCCTGGAAGCCACTAGGCTTTGGCAGAGGAAAGCAATCCTGCTTTGAGATTATGTCTGAAGTTTGCAGAAGGTACTTTGTAGTCTGGGGAACAAAGCAGGAAGAGAAGTAAGCCGCAGAGAGTTATATTGCTGTAGCATGCAAATACCAGGACATCATCATACCCTAGTCTATGTGCCAAAGAGAACTTTCCTCAGAAAAAACATTCCACCACATACATCCACTTCTCCTGCAAAAAAACGTACCTGCAGTTTCCCTTCACCCTGATTTTGAAGCCTCTAATGGGACCATGAGAGCTGTCAGGAAGGTTGTGAGCAACAGGACAAAAGGATATTCCGCTTTTCTCCAGTAACTGCCCAGGATGCAGATCCTCAGAAAGGCACACACAGTCGCAAAGGACATTGCGACCTCCACCTGCTCCAGACTTCCCCAGAGGTTAGACAGTAGAAATGCTCAGTTGGTAAATTGAATTTGCCCTGAAATATTGCAGGACACTGAGGCCAGCGGTCATAGAGCACCTCGTGTATGGGCTCTCAGTCCCCAGTGAAAAGGGGATTGCCTGCATACTGCTTATTGAGAAGGGATCCTGGATAGTCCTGGATCCTGACCCATGCTAGGATCTGTTTGGGAGAATTCAAGTTGACCTGGACTATAAAGTGTGCTAGGGACCGTTTTAACAACATAGAGGTTCCCAGGTGCCTGGAAACATGTCTGTGCACTGCGCGTGGAATAGTCTAAAAATAGATTTCCACTGTGAGATGGTGCTTCATGCTGGAATCACTTCAGGTGTTTCCTCTTACCTTGGGATCTGCGGAGCCAGCCACTTGTCCTGTTGAGCCAAACAGAACAGTTTTTCAGGAAACCCCCTAAAGAGGAAACTAACAGGGATTTCCTTCCTCTTAAACCTCATCTGAGGAAGGGGTGATCTGGCCTCTCATTTCTTGAGGAAACCCTCATTGTAATAGCTATATAAAAGATGTTAGACATGGCCAACTAGAATAAAAGGAAGGTCCATGTAGAATAGCCCAGTATCGCTACAAACACTCCCACAGTAAATTAGACCCAACTGGTAAGTCAGCTGTGTTGTGCAGTTGACCAGTCCAGTTCCACCACCACTGGTCTCATGTGCATATTAGACAATTGTATATAGCCAAAGCACACCTGGAAGGGTTTGCTGGCAATGGGGACTCGATCCAAAGAGATGACAATGGAAGATTTTCCTATTGACTTGACAAGGCTTTAAATCAGCTCCTCTTACCTTCTTGCAACACACTCAGGTGAGTGAAAGCCAAGGTTATGTTTTTTACTAGAAGAGAATAAAATAGGCATGAAATGCTGGAGTTTAAGAATACATCTTGTTAAAGGCTTAGCCAAAAGACACAGTTAACCTTGAACTAAGAAGCCCAGTAACACATGGGCTATTGTGTCTGTCTGATGTCAGGGCAAATTTGATCATGGTGTGTGGATTTCCACAAAGGGGCCTGGGACTTTCTCTCTGTTAAAACAGAGTCTGCCAATTTTCTCTTCCCCCAACGCATCACACAGACATCTGAACAACTCTACTTTCATTCTAATGTAGAAGACACATGAATCTTTAAATCAGCTTGCACTGATGAGTCAACAGTAATGTGATGTCCTAAAGGCTGGAGTTGTCTTTCAGTGTTTGAAGGATATTAGTGATGCTGATGCAGTAGGTTATGCTGGAAGAAAGGACATGTTACTCCAAGTATCTTTAGTTCTCAGTATTCATCTTACAGGGCTTCCTTCTAAAGTAGAGCTTTCTTCATTGTCCTTATGATGCATAGAGACACTTCTGGACATGATGGATGTGATCCTACAGTATCTGACCTTATGCATGTGTGTCCAGCTCATGGAGTCTGAAAGGAGGGTGGCTGTGGCAGGCTGTTCCTTGCCTGCTGACTTTTTTTATTTGTGGCCTGATTTCCGTCAAACTCAAGGGTAGATCGTGTTTCACCTGCTACAAGAGAGTATTAAGCTGATCTGCCAAGTTCACATTCTGTCCACTGACGAGTCTCTGCTTCTTAACTTGAATTTTCTTTATAACTGTGACAGCTAAATGTTGACTTGTTCAATGTTTGCATTGTGGGACATACACAAACTCAGGAAGTTTTATTTTATACTTGGAAATCTCCACGAGTGTATCAACACAGAGATTTGATTGATCTTTTTCTCAAGGAAAGTTTAGGAACATACAGTTTCAAAAGCTGGTTCTGCTTGGAAACCATAAGAAAAATGCACAGCTGTCTTGTTACATTTGGAAGGAGAGTTTAGAGGTAAACGATCTATGAATTTTATGTTAATGCTTGAAGATCAGAATAGGTTTCCTTATATGCCATCCGAATGAGACTCTTTGAACCCAACTGCTGCCAGGCTTTAGTCAGTCTCAGGATGGACTATCTGTGTACAAATATACAGAGCTTGCCTTGCAAACGAGACTTCAGCTTACAGCCACTGGTGCTCCCATACTGTTTCACCTCAAGTACCAGTTTTAATAGCTGTAAGAGTATAGCACTGCAAGTATGGAAGTGTTTCACCAGAAGTATCTGCAGGTCATACTCAAGCGGCCACTCCGAGGTGTTAGATGCTTACATCGTGTCTGCCAGTTTGGTGTAATGTCCAAATTTATGGTACCATCTGTTTTTCAAAGATTAAAATCTAAATTGTTAGATTTGAGAATAATCCTTGAAGTGATCTAAATGTTAATTTCTGATATACCAGATATTCCAGACATCTTCATTTTACATACAAGCCTACGTGTTTCCTGCCAACCTTTGACAAACAATATTTAGATTATTCCAGGAAGAATTATGGCTCTAACTGATTGTTCTTTAATTATGCTCTCTGTTTACAATCTACACTACTCAGCTGGGATGAGGAAAATGGTCTAGTAAGTTTTGCACTTTCCTAGTCAGTCACTTCTACTTTGTGGTGCTTGCTTGTTAGCACAATGCTGTAGTATTTCAGTATTACTTTTAAATCCAAATTAAATCTCTCTTCACTGAAAATCAAAGAAAAACATTTCAGTTGTGCATGCCTTCCTTTGCAAAAGCAGAGCTGTATTTGTAACTGAATTCAACAATATGCCATGAGTATACGTGGGTTTTGGACAAGCTCCTGAAACAGGTCAAACTGTGGAAAAGTTCTACCATTTAGTCCTAAATTAGAGGGTTTTTTTCAAGGACAGCAGGTAGTTGTCTTTCCTTCCTTTTATTTCCTTTGTAACTCCTTCAGCA